TCCCCCTCCATCCTCAAGGCAGGGGGCCGTGGGGGGAGCCCCGCTCCTCCCCTCCCAGCGCTCCCAGTGTCTCCCAGCTACAGGAAATGCCCAGGGCCCTTCCTTGATTTCAAGCTTCATCCCCAACTGCTACGAGCAGCTCAAAATCCCAGGCAGGGGGAGAAACTTCCATTTTTCAGGCACCCTCTGGGTTTTTTTTCCCCCTTCCCAAGCTGTACTGAACCCATTTGCAGCCTTTCCCTCCCCAAGGCCGGGGCTGAGGCCTGGGCAGGTCGGTTCAGGGATGGTCGTGACCCTGGGACACGGGATCCGGGATCCCACCGTGCCGTGTCCGCCCTTGGAGCAGGCGCTGGGCTCTGCTGGTGTGGGCGGTGGTTGCTCCCAGCACCGAGGAGGTCCTATCCTGCTCCCCACGTGTCCCTGCCGCTGGTCCCACGCCCCAGGATTGGGGCCCCCCCCATCCCAGCAGCCTGGCTTTGGCTTTCGCAATGGGCGCCGGTGTCGGAGCGGAGCGGATCAGAGCTTGCCTGGACTTATTTGTTTTTTCACCCTCTCTCCTCCCTTTTTCGCTCCTCTGCATCCATCTGCTTTGGAGCCGCTGCGGCTGTTCCCCGGGGCCGGGCGTTTGGCTTGGTGGAGGGGGGTGTGTGTGTTATACAGCTTTGGGGGTGTTTGTGTGCAAAATGAGGGGGCAGGTTTGGCGATTCAAAGGCTCGGTGTCAAAGAGAGAGGGGATTAAACAACGGGCACGGAGAAATGAGCAGATATCTGGGCTGAAGGGCGACGTTTTACGTCTCCGTTTGCTGTTTTCCCCTACGCACAACACAGACCGCGGCTTTTAACTCATCCTAGGGCACCGCTCCTTGCTCCAGGTCTAGGAAAAAATAACCTGCAGGTATCGGGGCTGCAGGGCAGGGGATGAACTGCATGGGAGCAGCAAAAAGAGGCGGAGAAGGACCAGGCGGATCACAGATGTGTGATGTTAAATAGCGGAACAACAGGATAACGCTGACCATTAAATAACATTATGCAGCGTGGTATCGCTTTTATCAGCGGTGCTGGGGCAGTACTTTGTTATCCCCAGACATGGTGCAAATCTGGAATCACCAGACAATCTTTTTTCAAAGAGCTTATGATAAAAATATAATGCAACCCCTATGTCTTGGCAGCAGTTGCAGGATTGATACGGTGCTGTCGGGTCGTTGCAAAAACCGGTGTTATTGCAGGAGTGCCGGGTTTGTGGTGTGTGGTATAAATCACGGCTGAATTTTCCAGTCCCTGGTTAGGGAAACTGTATTTGCAGGAAAAATAGTGGCTGGGTTGTGATCCTGGGCTCAAACTTATTCTGGCAGCGAATCCTGCGAGGGGCTGGCTCTGCAAACGGGGGTCTGAGCGTGCGGTGCTCCCTCCGCCCGCTTGTATTGTTAGGGAGAGGGCAATACCCATCCATTTCGGATTCCCTGGGTAGCCGGGGGAAATCTGAGCAAGAGCTGGCGCTCCCTCCTCACCCACCCGCCGGCCCACGACGGCTCCCTCTGCATCCCGCATCCCGCAGCGTTCCCCGACGCCTTCCCTTTGCAGCAGCTGGAGCTGCCGAGATTTACCCTGTCTGACTGTCCACAGCTCGCTGCGTGTTGTAAATTATTGCTAAATAGGGACTACAAGTCCTCTGGCACGCAACAAGTCATTAAATATTATCAAACATAGCATAACTCCCGTAAAGGCTTATTAGTTTCAACGTACCTCTCCCAGTTTTACTGCTGGCATTTAAAGGATTTTAATAGCAGGGGGATGAGTCTATCCATGTGTGCCAGTGGTGTGGAGGGGGACGGGCAGGCTGGTTTGGGATGTGCTGGTTTTCCAGGCTGGAGCCATCGCTGGGTCCCTCCTGGGCAGGTGAAAGAGGTCTTGGGAAGGCGTTTGGTCTCTGGGATTTGGGGTATTTGAGAGCTGAAGGCAGCAGGGGGAGAGGTTTGTGAGATCTTTTGGATATTTGTGGGGTGGGTGTCGGTTTGTGGAGCTGCTCAGGGGTTTGGTCCCTCCAAACGGGGGGACCTCAGCGGGGCTGAGGACCAGGACTCCTGGGGTCTCCTTCTGAACCTGCCACCGACCCTCTGCCCTGGGTTTTCTTGTGCGTAGAGCCAGACCAGGGTGCCTCATCCTCCTGGCTTGCTGGATGGATGTGTTGGGTGCTTTGAGATCAGGGGCAAAGGCTGCTGGGGGAGACCAAGGTGGGTGCCTCTTCTTAGGGCACCATGGATGGGTGCCAGTATGGGACTGACCGGGGCAGGGAGGTCCCCGTGGTGCTCCCGGGGCTCGCTGGGGTTCGTTTACCACGCACCAGATTATTTGTGGGCAAAGGATGATCCCAACAAACTCCTCGGCTGAAAAGCTTCCAGGAGAAACTTTTCACAATGTCACGGCGTCCGACTCCGACATCTCCGCAAGGGGAAGTGCCGCTGGGTCGGTTCTTGGATTGAAACGACCTTTTGTGGCCCCATTTTAATTGCCTCTGCCACCAAATGAGCCACGGCAAGAAAGCCACCAAGTGCGGCGGGAGGACTCCAGCGGGATGCTCTGTGGGCAAATGCTCTCTGTTTTCGGTTTCTCGCTTGCTTGCTGGGAGGAGGAATCTTTTTTCCCCCTCTTTGCATCCCATTGGCTTTCCCAACAGTCTCAAACCATCCCATAGAGCTGCCTCGCCGTCCCTGGGATCAGGAGATGTCACTGAAGAGCTCGGCAGGAGGCCGGGAGGGTTTACATAGCTCTGTGGTTTGTACGAACGTCCCTGCACAGCCAAGACTTTGCAACGTTATCCAGAGCCTTGGAAATGCTGGCGAGGCACGGAGCAGTGCCTAATGCACAGGACTGGGAACGGGCTTCTCCTTCTCGGAGGACGTGCTTTCCCTCCCAGCCTGGAGGTCGAGCAGCGGGCAGCGTAGATGAGGACCAGCGGTCGTGGTCCAGCCCATGGGCTTTTTCTCAGGGGGGGTTGATTTTTTTATCATTTTTTTCCTCTGCGATCTGCAGTTTGGGAAGAAAGCCTGTGCCTGGGAGCCTGCCGAGAAAAAGCTATGGCTTCCTCTGGAAAGCAGGGAGGCAGCTCAGCTCAACGTGGCTCTGGCACATGAGCTTCAGGGTCAAGGCGGAAGGGACAGAGTCTGGGGACAACTGTCCTCCTGATGACGCTATTAGACACCAAAGCCCCCTCCAGCCTGTAGCATCCCCAGCTGTGTTGGCTGACTGCTGACCAAGCTTGGACCAGGGCTTGGAGGCTCTTCTCCAGCTCTACTGCTTCTCTCCATGCCCAGGCCAGGTCCTCAGCCTGGAGAAACACCACGTGGGGACAAAAGGAGCTGGGACAATACAACGAAGGCCATTCCCTCTAGACGTCTTTGCAAGGACGTGCATTTTGGGGAAGCCCGTGAGGTTCTTCCCTTGCCCGAGGAAGATGTGGGACTCAGCTGGCCACGCTGGCTGCTTCTGCTTGTGTCCCCAGCCTGGGATCCTCCAGGCTCTGCGCCCCACAGCGAGGACCTTCTCCTAATCCCCAGGGGAGATTCATCCCTGGCTGGTTTACACCCCTTGTTGGGTGCCAGCATGGTCTTCTAGTTTGTCTTGGGCACGTCCCTGCATCTCTCTGTCGTGCAGGGACAATAATCTCGGCCCTGAGCGGCAAAGGGAATCTGTGCCCTTGCTTACGGGTCTTTTTTTTTTTTTTTTTGCTAAAGCTGCAGAGCCATCACGGGTTCAGTCCTCAGCCCTTGTCCGTCTGCACATCCCTCTCTGCCTCCCAAATATCCCAGAAAATCCTCCAGCTCCTAATGCCCGAACTCAGTGGAGAGCTTCATCCCAAGCTACGGTTCGATCTCGCTCAGGAATGTGCGCGCTGACGGCAGGAAAAACGACTTTATTAATTCACCTGGGGAAATCTCCCTTGCTGATTGCAACCCTGTTTCGCGTTAGCGAGTGGGAGACGGAGCCCCTCGGTCTGACCCTGCCGGAAACCCATCGGGTCCGCCGAGCCGGGGCCAGATTTGTTATTTAATGAGGCTGACGACGTAGAAAACGCTCCACGTTTCCAGGTCTCACAAAAGCAAAGCACAAACACCCATGTGTAATAACGACTCACAAGGGCAGGCGACAGCCTCTGTGTCACTCACGTGCTTTACACGCGTGCATATATATTTATGTAGCCGTGCATATTTATATAGATGCATATTTGGCGCCCCCCAGCCTCTGTGTCACTCACGTGCTTTACACGCGTGCATATATATTTATGTAGCCGTGCATATTTATATAGCCATGCATATTTATATGTGCATGCATATTTATATATGCACGGACATTTATATACGCATGGACATTTATGTACACATGCATATTCATAGCCGTCCAGCTATATGTGCTGATAATTTAATCCCATGCAAATGTGTATTATAATTTTGCACACCGATACAGTGTTTTTCTGTATCGGTTCACGTTACCAGCACGTGGACACTAAAATCATCTAAGTTTGCCTCTAGATTGCAGAGAGGTACAGATGAGCGTGTGGAAATCGCGCCCACATAATTGTATAAATACCTAAATTTCTACAGATATGTTACGGTCGTATCGTCTACACGTACAGCCCTGCGGAGCTGGGTTAGAGCCCCGGGGACGTAGCGAGGAGGGACGCACGTCTGCTGCAATAACACGTGGACACCCTCAGCGCTGGCAACGGGGGGGGGGGGAATTTTTTCTGGAGAATAATGAATTTGTTGAAATTGCAATTTTTTTTTTGGCAATTTTTAGGGGTTTTTTTTTTTTTGGTTATTGAAATCTCTGAGTTACTGGTTTTGTCCTGGCGCTGCTTGCCAGCGCTCGCTTCAGAGCAGCCTTCGGTGTCGAAGCGTGCCGTAAATTAATGATAGCAATAACAATCGAGGGAACAAAACCCATGAAAACAAACTGCGGGGCTGCGGACGGGATTAAACCCGGCGGGAAAGCCAAGCCCCATCGCTTTTGTTTTCATTTGCATTTCGTGGCGATAGATTAGGGGGAAAGAAAGGAAAAACGAAAAAAAAAAAAAAATCAACTTGATCCAAACCAACGTAAAAACTAGCAGTTTTTTGCAGCTGCTGAATAAAAACCCAAGTGTTTGTAAAGTGCTTTGGAGATGGAGTGGCCTTTAGAGGAGCTGCGGGAATAAATCAGCTTAATTCCCTCGGGCTGCTTTAAACGAGGATCCGGCCCCGTCCTTGCAGTCAGGGCCGCGGGGTGGATTTCCAGCACCGGTTAATTTGGTCTCTATAAACTCAATTTTACGCTGGGAGGCAGAGGGGACTCGTGAGCCCTGTGTTGCCGGTTCCCAGCCGGAGGGACGGATCCCTTCTCCCATTGCCGTCCCGCTGCCGCGCCGTTACGCCGGGTGGCTTTCTGCTTTAATAAGGAAAGATTTGTACTTCGTCCGTGTGGGGGGATTTTCAGGCTGCTTTGGAAAGTGCTTCGGGATGCCAAGTTCAGGCTTTGTTTTTCCTTCCAGCTGCTCCAAATATATATAGATATAGATATATTAGAAAAGAAAAAAGGGCTGAAACGAAGCCTGGAAGCGGCAGCAAGCCGGCGGCGGCTGGGATTCGGGGGGCGATGCCGGGCTGCATGTGTGCTTATGGCATTAATCCCAGTAAAAGACATGTAACCGGGAGCCAAACGGGTCTAAAAATCCGACAGCGATTGCAAAATCAGGAATACATCTAGGGATTAAAAGGAATTTATTCCAGATTTGCTCTGCCGGGAAGTGGTAGGATTCGAGTCAATTTGAGTTTCTTATTTTAGAGTAACGCCGTTACGTGGCGTAAATCTGAAATAACGGCACTAAATAAGTGGGGTCACTCTGGATTTAACATACACGTAACCGGGAGCAGGATCCGGCCCCTGAATTAACGCAGCAGCTGCTTAAATAGGTGTAAATCAGAGTAACTCGGTGCTGGGTGTTGTTGCAGATTTATGCTGCCCGTAGGATGTACGACAGCCTGGCCGGCTCCGCGGCGGGGGGAATTAATTCCCCTGGAGGGTTTATTCCCCGTCGTCGGTGCGGGGCTGGGCTGAGCCTTTCGCAGTCGGCTCAGTTGTTCTGGGTTTGCACGGGGTGACCCCGGGCAGAGTTTGGTCTTTATCTGGAAAATGGCTGAAAAATGGTGGAAACGGGGGCGGGGGGGGGAAGCAAAAGGGAGGTGATGTGGGGCATGTTTTTGGGGT